ATAAAAGCATAAAAGCCGATGTGCAAGTACATTTAACCACTTACATTACTCAGCTGAACGCACAAGCGCTCTTCTTCGTGAGCATTTGAGTGTCTGGATAAAAACTAGAGCGCCATCTGCTGTTAAAATCTAAGCTCAGAATCGATTCCAGAGAGAATCACGATGCATTCGGAAGATCTCAGAATCCATCCACGAATCGATTCTGCATCGATTTATCGTCACAGCCCTAATATTACTACTGTACAGCAGAATGTACGTCTTACTCGGGGCTGTCTTTTGGTCGGTGCAACTGGTGTGGACTGAGGAGGGATTGTGCGGCACTTTGTTGGTTTGTTATTTAAAAAACAAAAAAAACAAAGTAATCGGATTTCATAGGGCCCTGGATTGTATGATTCAGAGAAGCATGCCTGTCCTGAGGCACAGACCTGTGTGATGGTCGAGTCCTTCTCTGAGATCTCCTGTTTGTACCGTGAGGTGGCTTTCTTGTGCTCCTGAGAGAGTTCAAAATACTGCTCTTCCTGCAGTGCGCGCGCCAACTGCTCCGACTCGGCCTTCGTCATGGTCAGGTCCAACTGAGCAGACAGCGACTCCCTATAAAAACAGGAGCAGCAGTTCACAAGACGACATTCAAAATAAATGCTGAATAGTACTTTAAAGTTACAAGATACTCTATGGTTCCTTATTAATTGTTTTAAAGCAGCCCTGTTTCAAATGCTACTTATTGATGAAAAGGACTTTTACTTCTCTGAGTACATGTCCTGGACTTTTTTGAGAGTCTCTTGAGTTTGTCGATTCTTCTCCTCTATCTCCTCCTTCAGCTCCTTCACCTGAGTTTTATAGAGTGTCTGAAAACAAGAAAAAACATCTTGATAATAAATGACGTGACTGCTAGTGATGTCACAATGAGGAAATGGTCATATCAGTATATAAACTTGCGACAAAACTAGTATTACTGGTAACCCTGAGGGGGGCTTTGGATGCTTTCTGTTTCGCTTTCCAGTTAGCGATTTTGGTGTACAGCAAGTGTCAAAATGAAGACAAAAAGAAAATTAAAACTAAATTCACTGTTGATGAAAGTGCTTGCATGTTTTATTGCCAAGAAAACCAACACATTCACCTTCTCTGGTTTAAGAAGCAGTCTTTTATTATCAAAAAAATCGCCACTTTCACTACTTTTAACTGTCCTGAGCGCGTTCTCAACAGCCGGCGCGTGATGCGGCTTCTTCTTCTTGCTTTACGGCAGATCGCAGACTTATAAGTGCATTACCGCCACCTATCTCTCAAATGGACCATTGACACTC